CGGTACTTAATACTGAAAGATTTAGCGTGTAATACCTGCCGTGTAAGAAGTGAGTTTTATGACGTAATTCGTGTATGAAAGAAATGCTGCCGTAGAAACATTATATACTTGCGTTATGTTGGTGTAATTTTTACGTCACATAAACACACACATATATATATATATATATATATATATAATTGATTAAGATGAACCAATGTTGGTGAGTGCGTTCGTTTCGTTGTGGAGGCACAATACATAAACGGACCAACGCGAATGTGTTTGTATATCCCCATTATAATATATATATAATTAAATTGATCAATATAAAGCAAAATGCTTTACACAAAAATGTGATGTCGTTTTCTTACTAACTTTTCTCGCGCGTCATGTAGAACTGGGGGAGGGTGTTTTGTTGACGTCTTGTTAGATTGGTTTGGCATCGAGTCAAGCTCTAGGCAACCGGAAATCTCCAATCAATTGCGAACGTATGAAATGCAGCATTTATCTATTCAGGTCTAGTTAATTTACGTCACGGCAGTGCGCGAATTATAAGCTGGCACGCGCACACGCACACGCACACGCACACGCACGCACACACTGCGAAACGGTAAAAAATTGAACAACTGGTGATCCTTTTTATTGACCTTGTGTACGTCTAAAATTGTACGTGTTACCGACGATGTCCTTTTGTTTCATTAGACTTGTTTTTTTTTATCTCTGATCAATTAACTTTTTATGAAATCACGGATTAACTGCATCATTAATATCAGGAGTGTATAATATCAAGAGCTAATAATATTATTAGCGCTTGATATTATAAAGATCTTTATAAATCTTTATAAATGACCTTTATATCATACACTCCTATTAATATCAATACTGTAAAAAGCATTTAGATGTAAGTCTTCTTACTGCTCAACCTATTCTAACACACGAGACTAAAACTATTAAACAAGACATTTTTTCGCATACACACTACCTATTATATTGACTTGAATTATCTTTATATTGTTGACCAAATATCTGGGCAGCATAAACCGAATTTACACGTATACGTTTAGCCAGTTATAAGTATCTAGGTCATGCAGCAAACGCGTGGAACATAATTATAGGGGCGATACGACCGCCACTGCCTCATTTCTCCTCGGTAAATAATCAGGCACGAGTGGAAGGTAAGTGGTCGTTCTAGTGTGCTGTGCCGCGCCTTGCTGTAGCTCGCAATAGCTTACTATGGCACGCTATGTATACTATCGTTTCCTTTTATGCAGTTATTTATTGAAAACACGGCTTTGTACGTGTCTTATACCCTGAGGTCGTTGTTCATATGCGGCTATTTCATACCTAGACGCTTGTTCAAGACATCTGTCATAATATGTATACACATAACCCAGATCGATTGCACGCACGCACAAACACGCGCGCACGCACACACACGCACGCACGCACGCACAAAAGAACACGCGCGCACTTACAATAGGCGTCAATTAATACACATAAACACTATATACTGATTCATCACGGTCGCAGAGAAGTTCGTACATAAAATTGGTTAGCCACCTGGTATTCTAGCGAGATATTCGCTTAATATATGCACGCATTTGTGTTCTTATCACATCTCGCTGCGCACGATATCTTCTTGTATTGTTTCGTGCAGTTTCCATCACGCCCGTTTTAAGAATAATCATGTTTTAATAATTTCTTAGTTTGCATTCACATATTTTGATGAATAGACTAAAATAAACCGCGTTGACTATTTGACGCTTGTAAAATGCCATATCCAGATTAGGTAACACAGTAAGGAGACACATTTTCGTTAGAGGTGAAGGGCCGGGGAAACGAAGCAAAGGAGGAGCGCATGAGGCGACAAATGAGTCAAAAACGTTGACAGGAAAGAAAGAGTTGTGAAAGGTCTAAAGCGGTGTAGGAGGCGTGGGTAGGAATTGCGTTTGTGGTATATATAGTGAGAGGGGGAAATGAGGAAAAAAAGTCTGTGAGATTATTGTAACATGCGCCATAACGGGCCCAATAGGTGGCGCCAAGTACTTCCCCGAAGCCAGTGGCAAACTACAGTGTGGCAGCCTGAACCGCGGTACTATAAATTCGTTGTTTGTGTTATATAGTAAACATTTATTCTTTAGTGTTTACTTTGGAAATACAACAGTATTTTGCGTCGACGAGGATGGGATATTTCTAGCCACCAGCTAACTCAGAGGTTGGACATTTTAATAGCTACAACGAGCAATTAAGTACCTAACTTTCACAGAGAGAGATCAAGCACTGAACCTCGTGGCTTAATGCAAAAGATGTATGATATAACGAAACTGCTCGAGCTACTGCAGACCAGCAAAATTTACAACAGATACAACAATAGCAGTTTCAGCACCAGCAAGCAGCAAGAAATACACGAAGAACAGCACTAGCGGCAAGCGAGAGCAGATGGAGGCGCTGATTAAGAAGATTACAAAGGATACAAAGCCGGTCTCCATGCCGACGGCATCCCAAGTTAGTATTCCTAGTTTCACAGCATTGCGTTGTGTGAAGAACAATCATGTTCTTCACAATTTCTTAGTTTGCATTCATATATTTTGGTGAATAGACTAACATAAGCCGCGTTGACTATTTGACGCTTGTAAAATGTCATATCCCGATTAGGTAACACATAATAAGAAGGTGGGATGACAAATTCAAGAGCAGTTGTGGCGAGGTACATACATTTTAGTTAGATGTGAAGAGTCGGGGAAACGTAGCATAAGAGGTGCGCATGGAGCGACACATGAGGTATAAATGTCGCCAGGAAAGAAAGGGTTGCGAAAAGTCTAAAGGAGTGTAACTGGCGTGGGTAGAAATTGCGCTTGTAGAAATTGCGTTGCGTTGTATTGTGGTTGTGAGAGGCGGAAATGGGGAAAGCAAGACACTACCACGTTGTGCTGATGATTTCCGTCCATACATATTAGTGCACGTTGCCTCGCGATATCCCACACATTCGATCTTGTTTTCTCCCTGTTTTCCACTTTCTATCCATTCTCTCTCTCTCTCTCTCTCTCTCTCTCTCTCTCTCTCTCCCTCCCTCTCTGTCTCTCTCTCTCTCTCTCTCTCTCTGCTCTTTCTCTCTCTCTTCTCTCTCTCTCTCTCTCTCTCTCTCTCTCTCTCTCTCTCTCTGCTCTTCTCGCTCTCTCTCGCTCTTTCTCTCTCTCTCTCTCTCTCCTCTCTCTCTTCCTCTCTCTTTCTCTCCTCTTTCTCCCTTCCCGTCTCTCTCCCCTCCCTCTCCTCTCTCTCTCTCTCTCTCGTCTTTCTCTCTCTCCTCTCTTTCTTCACTCTCTCTCTCTCCTCCTCCCCTCTCTCTCTCTCTCTCTCTCTCTCTCTCTCTCTCTCTCTCTCTTCTCATCTCTCGCTACCGCCTCTCTCTCCTCTCTCCTCTCTCTCTCATCTTTCCGCACTCTCTCGCTCCCTCCCCCCCCTCTCTCTCTCTCATCTCTTCTCTCTCCTCTCTCTCTCTCGCTGATCGCCTCTGCTCTCTCTCTCTCTCTCTTCTCTCTCTTTACTCTCTCTCTTCTCTCTCTCATCTTCGCTATCGCTCTCTCTCTCTCTCTCTCTCTCTCTCTCTCGTCTCCCTCTCTCTCTCTCTTCTCTCTCTCTCGTCGCTCTAACTCTCTCTCTCTCTCTCTCTTTCTCTCTCTCTCTCTCCTACTCTCTCTCTCTCTTCTCTCTCTTTTCTCGCTCTCTCTCCCCTCCCTCTCTCTCTCTCTCTCTCTCTCTCTCTCTTCTTTTCTTTCCCCCCCCCACTCCCTCTCCCTCCCTCCCTCCTCTCTCTCTCTCTCTCTCTCTCCTCTCTCTCTCTCTCGCTCTCTCTCTCTCTCTCTCTCGCTATCGCTCTCTCTCTCTCTCTCTCTCTTTCTCACTCTCTCTCTCCCTTCCCTCTCTTCTCGCTCCTCTCTCTCTCTCTCTCTCTCTCTCTCTCTCTCTCTCTCTCTCTCTCTCTCTCTCTCTCTCTCTCTCTCTCTCTCTCTCTCTCTCTCTCTCTCTCTCTCTCTCTCTCTCTCTCTCTCTCTCTCTCCTCCTCTCTCTCTCTCTCTCTCTTGTTCAACCCATTCTCCCGTATTAGTGACTCCCATTCTCCCGTATTCCTGACTTTCATTTTCCCATATTCGTGCCTTTCATCCTCGCGTATTCAATATATATCCCAGTTTATTATATATATATACTGATTATAGTTCCATATTAGACATTCCAATCTCTTGTACACCCTCGCAATAGTAGTATCATTATCTCCCGCTCTCGCGCTACGCACCAATTCTGTGTGACACGTCCCCGCGTCGGCGCACGTCCGTCCGTCCTGCACCGACGTCCCGCCGACGAGCCGACGTCACGCCGAGTCTGCGCATGTTGGCGGCAGCGGACGCACGAAGGCGACGGTGATGAGCGGGATGTCGGCTGACATCAGAGCAGGTCGGATGACGCGGTGCGGGCCGACGTGACGCTGATTGTTGTGCTGTCAGGCGGGCCGCCGCTCCACACAATACCCGTCACTACCCCCCCCCCCCTTCTTCCCCGGGGTTACCTACAGTCATGGTGGCGGATCCAGGGGGCACAGGCACCCCTAGAATCTTCAGGGCAAGGGTAGTTTAGCCTAACACCCTCTCCCTCGGGCGTTCGTGCCCTTGAGCTCTCGTGATTCGCCCCACCCCCTAGAATTCAGTTCTGGACCCGCCACGGAATCATGGCGGCGTTCATCAACTTACCAACAATCATGGCCGCCTTCCCCGTGCGCCCGCGTATAGTACGCTCGAACCCGCGACAATGCACAATAGATCATATTTTGCTCGCCTGCGTACAGATGTTTAACGTAGCGACAGCTGCGGTATGCGAGCTCAATGAATGGTACGGCAGCGCCGCAGTATAATAACGATACGTAGTGTGTTTTTCTCATGCGGCCGATATAGGTGTTAGGTTTATACGTGCAGGTAGAAACCGCGCGCGTACTCAGACCCTGACAGGCTCAAGGCTAAGCGTCAGATCCCGGTGATTACACGCGAAATGCCGTACGTCAGCGTATCTTACTATATCTTTACAATTACTGATTAATTTTATCCATTAGACTTATCCTATAGACTATATCGCATTTTCGCATAGCTATATAATTCTATGCAAATACTAGGCGAATTCGCGGTCATGAATCCGGGTCTCCAATATGCCTGTATATTCATATCGTCAATCTGCATCCGAGATACCGGAATGACACGATAAATTACTATACTGATGTGACGGCTGGTTTCTGGAGGGAAATACAATCGGACTGAGACAGAACAGGTGTAAGCACCAACAATGGCGAAACAACTCGAACTTTTGCGAAAGCGTTAACAATGGCATACTGCAGCTGAAATGTTCGAAACCGGAATCACTCCTAGACGACGAAATATGAACGCAAGCGCCTGAATGTGTAATGGAAAAAGTAAAAAAAAAAAGCAAAACAATTTTAAAATATTAAGTTACAAATTTAAAAGCCATGTGAATACCATTACGTCTGTTCCCGCGACACGTTTCATGATATCTCGATAGCATGAACTGACTAGTTTAATAGCTATTTGAATTTGTAATCTACCTTAACGGCGCCATTGACGAAAGCACATTGTTGTGAGCGCTGAACGCGTTGTTGATCTAAACTAAACATAATGTGATATAGCGTGCCCGTATATATATATATATGTATATATATATATATTTGACGAGATATTTCAAGAGTAAATGTGTAAATTTAAGAAAGCGCAAGAAGATTCGCTTGCAA